ATTTAGAAAATCAAGAAAGGCGACTGAAGATTTATTTTTTCCCAAAATTGTTTTGTACCAGTGGGAAGTCCATGAGCAGCCAAAGATAAATAAAGCTCTCCAATCACGCAAATACCCCAAGAGATTACCTCTGTTACACAAGATTCCTACAGCTCCACAGGACAACCAGCCTATCGATGGTGACGACAAGGCTGATGAGAATGATACCAAAATACCACAGAGCCCTCTGTCAAAAATACCACATCCGCCTCCGCCTACTCCGCGGTCCCAAACATGTCCTCCAAGCTCGTCAGGGAATATTGCTGATAAATAATGTATAAGTGATAGTATAATTATTCCAGTCCTAAATAAAAAAGAGATACGGCCATTTCTTTTATTTTCCATTCACTCCGATATCTGACTGACTCAGTCATATTTTGCTGTTTTCAAAAAAGCAAATGAAAGAAGGAGTAATAAAAGAGAGAAAGCGGATACTGTGAGAAAGGGCAGAAAGAAAACGAAAAAAAAAAAAAAATTAAGTAAATTGAATAGAACAGAAGATTCACAGTTTGCTTTCTATAACCATTAAAGCCTTAACAAAACGAGGAAGATGGCTGATTTTGGAAAGACACGCGTATCGGTCTGAGCTTATTTTAATAACACGTGATTATTGCTGTTGCGTTTTTCAAACATAATCTGACTGAGATGAAAAAGAAATCATGACATAAATACAAAGAATGAAGGTGTAAATGCATCAACTTTGAAAATAAACTTTTACTGCCTGGGTTCATAAAGATACTTTGCTTGACTACTACTAGAAAAGTCTTATCTTAATTATCACTCGAGTTCAACAAATAAGAATAAATAGGCCGGCTAGGGCTTCCTTTTTCAACTTTGTCATTGAGGTTATTTCCCAAGTTGAAGTATGGTCACATATAAATTAGGAACTAAATATGAGTAAAAACCGTCTGCTTTCCTCAGTGACTTTGTAAAACGTATTTCCACCCAATAAAACATTTTGCTTGAATTAAACATACTCTTATTATTTCCTGCCATATCCTCTCTACGGTTGCATGCATTTTGATAAGTAAGTGGCACAAATCAGACAGGGATTATTTTCGTTCCGGAAAAAACCTGGAACTAGTGCAAGAACAGTCCCATCATTCCAGAGGAAGTGGTGTTCAAAATGGCGACAACTTTGGAAAACGCCAACCCGACTATTTTCCTGCAGAAAACGGAGCGGGAAGTTCTTCCTGACGAAGAAAATGAGGACATTGTGGAAAAGATTGATGGACGAGAAGTATTTGATATCCTTAAACAGTGGGCTTCTTTAATAATTTGATCCGTTTTGTAGTGCTTTCGTTTTATCGTCTTAGCTGTCACGGTGTAGACAGTGCTCCATTTGATAGTTGTAAGTCAAGGATTTTCTTTTCAGGCAGGGATCGAGCCATGGAGCCATACTTGGTAGACTCTGTATACTTATACCAAATTGTGGTGTTGAATGGGGGGGGGGGGGGGGACTTCGTCTATTCATCTGGAAGTGGATGTAGCCCAGGGCCAAGTTGTTCAAAGGTGGGTTAAGGTAACACAGTTTAGTGTGAAATTTGATTTCAGATCTGAAAGCTTTAGAAGAAAACTCAGTTTAGTTCCATTTGTTTACAATTTGATGGTTAAATGCTCTTAAAAGAATTGGTAGCATCATCCCAAAACGGCTTTTGAACAGAGAAATATAGAAACCTGGATTAAAAATTTAGCCCTGGCTTAGTGCTAATCGACCTTCGAACAACTCGGCCCAGTTCTGGATATGAGTCGATCAACATTTTTTTGAAGTAGTGACTGAAAAGCTGTTGAGAAACTTTTTTTTTAATATGTAAATGTTCAGTTTTTATTGTAAAAAAAGTTTATAGCACACATACATCAATGAATCGGTTACCGCCAGTCAGCATAAAATGATGCTAATATTGCTAGAAAACTGCAATTGCTCACTACAAGCCCCTTTATTGGAAAAAGAAGGCACTTTGTCCAGTTGTGCTGACTAGAACTTGTATTTGATATTTGACTTAAACTGTTGACTTTGATGTGACTTGGCAAAAAAATTAATAAGTGATCTGGCTACAATGAAACATTCCTTTTAACCTTAACTGAAGTGAACATCTGATTCGTTCTATCAATGATCCTGAACATCCCCTCACTCTGGAGCAGCTGAATGTTGTGGAGCAGTCTTTAGTAGAAGTGGATGATGCAAATAATTATGTGAAAATTCAGTTCACCCCGACAATTCCTCACTGTAGCATGGCAACCCTGATTGGTTTGGCAATACGAGTCCAGCTTCTTAGATCACTGCCTGAAAGATTCAAGGTACAATATAATGTTGGTAGATCTGACTCTGTGTTAATTGAATCCATTTGGTTAACTCAGATTTCTCCTGTTTGGGCATAAATCCCTGTGTTCTCAACCTGACGTTATTCTGTATTCAAAAGCTCCCTTTGGGGAACTTATTGGTTGCAGCAATAGAGTTATTATATTTATTATCCAACTGTGCTTGGTAAAATACAAATAACACTTGAGACATGTACAAATATCACACGTTATTTGTACTCCAGAAATATCTGCAAAATTTGCATGCATTGAAATAACAATTTGGCGTGTTGAATAATAAATCTCTTATTAGACATTTTGTTGAGTAGTATCACTGGGTATTTTTACTTGTAGTTTGTATTTTGACTTTTCCTACACACTCGTCAAAATACAGCACAACTCATAAAAAATACTCAGTGATGCTACACAACACAACTCCCAATAAGATATATATTTGAGATGGAACGACTGTTTGCTCTTCAGCACTAAATTTGTACTCAACCCTTGTTAACGGAGCTAATGATATACATGAAAAAATTTTGCCCATCTGGCTGAAAAAGAGTGCATTCTTCATTTACAGAAGTGCAGATTACAGATACTGTGTGCTGTCAACATTTTGTCTGTCTTGACTCTCTGTGCACCTTTTTTGTGTAAATTATTAATAAGCAACAATATGATTTCTCATGCAATTTGGTGTAAGTAAGCATTAAATTTTATAAGTTTTTCAGAGACTACTAATTGCAATTTTGTTGTCTTTGAAAAATTTACTCATGTTCTTCAATACTAAATTGCACTTGAAATTTTGTTATTGCCTATACTTATTCTGAGTTCACCTTGAAATTGAAACTTTTCTCTGCAAGTTCAATATTTCTGTAAGTACATTAGAAATAGCAAGGTTCTTAATGTTTTAGAAGAAAAAAGAAAAGAGATGAAACAGTTTTTTAAGAGAGTAAGTCAGTTTAAGTTATAAATCGAAGTACGTTGTATGGCATTCATGATATTTAATGCTAAAATTTCTCAAGTAAAAAAATTCTCTTTCACTCACCAAGCACTGAGGAGTACTTCTACAGATTATTGGTATTCAAGAGTCATGGTTATTTACTTTTTCATTCAGTAATATTCATTCATTATTCTCCAGGTTGATATCAGCATAACTCCTGGTACCCATGCCTCAGAAGATGCAGGTAATGTCTGAATATTTTTTTTTATTTATTATTTTTATATATATCCAGTGTGGGCTACCTTAACAGACAGATCCAGTGACTACCCAGGCATGCTTAATCCAAAGTGAACTCCAATAAAACTTAGTATACCTTGTTACTGTACAATAATATTGTCAAAGAAAAAGACAAAAGTGAAAAAGAAAAAAGCTAATTACAAATTAATTAAGGAAACTGTATTTCCCATGTCAGGGTTAAACCTTTATTAATGATGTGTCCACTGATTCAAAAAATAAAAAAAGGAAAGGAAAATATAATAATTTCAACTTATTAAGTAGTTGAAATTAACTTACTAATCAATACTAATTTTCTCAAGTGTAAGGAAATTGGAACTATAGGATTTAGTTCCGTAGTAGTTCCTATTAAACTTTTCTTTCTTTTTTAACTGTTTTTCTCTGACAGCATTACACCAACATTTCCTTCAAATGAGTTGGCATCATTGTTTATTTCAAAGAGTTTATGACACTTTCATTATAGTGCTGTATTCTAATGTTTGTCTTGTCTTCATGCATTCCCTCACTCCTTTGTTTCTTCTTTAGTGAACAAGCAGCTGGCTGATAAAGAAAGAGTTGCTGCAGCTTTGGAAAACACTCATTTGTTGGAAGTTGTAAATCAGTGCCTTACAGTGCGCCACTGAGGTGGCTCATCATATTTGTATTGAGTAAAAAAAAATGTCTATGGCTGCAAAAATTGCACAGAGGGATATCCAAGGCAGTAAGTCAGCTTTTTACAGTTTGCCATGACGGGTGGCAGCTCCAAGTATGATCTTCATGTATTTGCCTAACTGATTTGGAAGGTATTACAGTACTATATGCTCACTAGCCTTAAAAAATGTTGGCACACCCAAGCAGAAGTTTCTCACCCTCTATCTAGGTCAAATTTAAAAACATAAAAAAAAACCTAGAGGTTAACTTTGCAGCAACACTGATGGCTATAATTCAAATATCTGTGGCTTAATTAAATAAACATCGGCACAAGATAGGTCTTCCCAAACATCAAGTACCTCTAGGATGCAGCTGTTGTTTACCAGTAGTCTAGTCTTATCACCCAGGGGGAGGGGGGGTATCTAAATTCCAGGACCCCTAGAAAGGGGCTTATTGTGGTGGGTGATGGGAGTATCAATAGTAAACTGAGGGCCAAAGTGCAAGTCATTATTTCCCCCCTATACTGTCACCCAAATTTAATGAATTAAGTACAAAAACCTATTACTGGTATATTTAAAATGGAAACCACAGCAGGGTTTTAATTCTAAGTCCATTTTGTACAGCAAGTAACATAACCTAGTCAGCTTGAAGGATAAAACATCAACCCACCTTACAATTTTTGACTATGGGGAGAAGGGAGGAGTGCTCAGTACAAAATTAAAGCACTAGATCTTTTTGGCAGTACATATAGGTTGAATAGGTAGTCACAGACTCTATCTCTATCTCTTTTTATTATAAGACACATTATGGTCTGCTTTGTACAAATTACTTTATGTAGTTGTTAAAAAGCTCACATCATTATTTACCCGATGGTATGAAAGTTACTAATCGAGAACTTTTAAATTCATACCTACACGTATTATCTCAGTTTGTAAAATGTTTGAATCATATTTTCCTGTAAATGTACGTTAAAAGAATGAGTTATGTTTGAAAAGCCTTATAGTTGTAGAGAATCCAGTTTAAATAATACATACAAGATATCAGAATAAATATGTTGTTCAACTTGAGGACTTTCAAAGTTTTTTTTTCTTAATTTGGACAACCATTTTAAAATATGTTAAAGGTCAAACAAGTGGGAGAAACAGTTGTTCAAACACAAAAATGCAGCACTAAGATTGTAAATTTGCTGAAAACCTCATCACCTTTAGTTAATTTTTTTTATTCACTGGAATCATCACAGACACAACATACTCTCCAATGCTATTGAATAATTGAATAAATGAAACCTAATAACATATAAAATCAAATTGTTCACAATTATTGCACTCTAACATTCCCCACAGAGAAATACTCTTTGTAGAGGTCTGCTTACTGAAATTGGTCCAAACAAATTTGTTATTAATAAAAAAACGTCAATATTTAACAATTATTCACCGAAGGCGAGGTGAATAATTGTTTCAGTTTAATTTCAGAGCTGAATAGAGAATTTCCTAAAATCATAACATTTTAGTAACATTTATTAACATTTTATTTTAACATTTTATATAAACTGTGTGGAGTGGTTTATATAGCGTCATATAAGGAACTGCTCGGCCAATCAGATTGCTGGAAACTCTGCTCAGCTCTGAAATTATACTAAAATGTCATTATACTACAGTATCAATACAATAACTATGTATGCAATTCTATGTGACTTGAAAGCTCAAGGAATAATTCTTGCTCTCTAAATCTCAACTGTGCAGGTATGCACAACTCATGAGACATTTTCAGAGAAATTAGAACTTATTCATAGAGGGCTGTTGAATAATTTGAACCATTTAGAAGCACTTGGGATGTTCAAGAAAATGAAGAAAGAGTCAGAAGCACAAATGCAGCAGTTCTCTTTGGTTCATATGACATCATGCAGCTTACATGAGTCTCTATTCAGAACAACAATGCACTTCATGATTGTTGCCACAATTAGCTGAAAAAATTCGCAAAACTCTTTATGGTTTATGCTGATTATTACGGAATCCCTACCACTGTCAATTTTTTACTGTACTGTTTTTTTAAACAAAGCTTTTTCTGATGAATGTGTTCTAAGCTCACAATGAACTTCCTTACTACATTTCAAGCCTAGCATTTTCATCTAAGGTTAACTATTTTCAATTTAAATTATGATATTGGAAGTCTCAAAATTGTGCCAGTTCTCATACTAGTTGTGGCAGATAATTTTCTTTCAGGCAATCCATCTGAGGCAATCCCTGGCGATTCGTTAGTGCTTGTTACTGTAAATGTTTGTTCAGCATCCAGAGCAAAATGAGCTGTTACCATCTTCTGACCCACTGAGAGAAAGGGATCAGGTTTTTTCCTAAAAGGAAAAAGAAATCAAACATTCACCAACCAAAGAATAATTTTTAAACTACTGTATCTCAACATGTGAATCACTTAAACTACATGCATTTCTGATAAAAATAAGTGAAATTGCTGATACTCATTTCTTACTGACTAAATATTGGATAAAAAAGTTTACTTTATTAAGACAAGTGATGTACATGGAAATGCATTCATGTCCTTTTTTTTATCTTTTATTTATAAGTCAGAATATATTCTTTGAAAATTTATTGTTTAATTCTGTTGGGCTTGGTTGTAATGACTTTTTCAGAAGAAAACTCTACCTATTTTAGCAAAAGAAAAGATGAAATGAAAGTCAAAATTTAATGAGCTCAAAACTTTTTCAGACTACATGTAACTTAAAGAGAAAAGGTCTCTGCTTGAAAGGACTAAATAACCAAATCCTGTTTGTCTCATTGTGCAGCATAAATAATGTTCTTTTACAAACTAGTAACCTCATTTATTTGTAAATCAATTGACATGTCATGTACATGTCAGACAGAAAACTTAAAAATGATTAGGTGCGATAAATTGGCCAATAGGATGGATTCCCTACCCATTTGAAGTTTTGATTTGGAAATAAATGAAAATGAAAGCCTGCATAGCCAACAGTCTTACAAAGCAATGTTCTGCAAAATCACTGGGTGTCTGAAGACTCGTGTCTATTAAAAAATTTGGGAGCTCCTTGCTCAAAAAAGCTTTTAAATAAATTAGAGTTGTTCTAATCAAACAGGTTGCCCTAAAGGAAAGTTAGAAGCCTGTGAGACTTGGGTTCAGTACTAGAGCAGAAGTGCAGCCCTGTCTCTCTGTAACTTTTATGTGCAGTTATCATGAGGGATATGGTCAAATCAGATAAACAATAAAGCACAACATTTGGTACAAAAAAATATGTTCACTCACATTATGGGAGGAAGACCAATCCTCTTGCAGTGTTGCCATCTCTCTATAAATTGTCGAGACAGTTTCACTTTTCCTGCATGAAACTGAATCACTTCATAAAGAAAAGGATCATGTCGGCACAAACTTAGCAGCTGTCTCTCCCCTATGCTGTCATAGCTCAAGTATCCCAGGGCTACTGCTGCTGCTGCCTGCACAGTTTCGTACTGTGATGTCAACAGTTTGCCGAGTATGGGGATAGTTCCTATGGAGATAATGGCACCTGGAATTCCTGCTCTTGAATGAGCAAGTCCTCCAATAAAATTTGCAGCAGCACATTGGATGTCTTCAGTAGCTGAGTCAAGAAGTGATACCAACATTTTAATTCCAGTTGCTGAGGTCAAGGATTGGTCCTCATCTGGAATAATCCGGGATAAAACCACCACTTGAAATGCTGTATAGGTAGCCAACCTTTCATTTTTCTGCTCCAAGAACGGAACAAAGGTGTGGTACCTTACTCCCCCAGACATCGCAATATTTCTTTGGTTTGCCACATTGTTGTAAGCAAAAACAGAGAGCGCAGCTCCAGCAAGAAGGTGCACCTCTTCATCATCATTGTAAAGCTGTCGCAGAATGTGAACAAAACTGAAGTCTTTATGATCCAATGTTGCTTTCATGTTGGTAGAGTTTCTCAAACAAACACAGCCAAGAGTATAGGAAGCTTCTGCTTTGATAATATCCTGTCTTGCTTGCACCATGTATCTGATCAGAAGTTTCAGGCCCCCTTCCCTGGTAACAGCATCTTGATTTTGGATATGAGGTCTGAAGCTAAGGCACAGACACAGTGCACGCAATGTCTGAAGCACACTTAAGATGATGTATGCCGGTGTCATGGATTTCCCCAAAAGACGAACCAATGGCATCACACCATTTGCTTGGGCAATTTCATCTCTTTTATTTCTGACACCCTCAGCAAGAACACCAAGAGCTTCTGAGCCAATGAAATGTAAGTTCTCTGATAAATTCTCGGAGAGAAATTCAATAAGGAGGTTAATTCCAATTTCTGCTGCAATTGACCGTCTTTGTGCATTCTTTTCCCCAGCAATTGCCCAGAGAGCTCCTGCTGTGAGTGTTCTTAAATCGGCTGCTCGAGATCGCTTTAACAGTCGCATCAGCATCATAACACATCCATGTTCTGTTACAACTCTCTGATTGCCCTCATTGCCTTCTGCTAGAGCATGGATCCCTTCAACTGAAGCAAATTGACATTCTCTTGATCGCAATCGCATCAATTCCATCAATGGCTGTACTCCATTTTTAGCCACAAATGCATTTTGATTAGCCGTGTTTCCCTTGACCATAGCTCCCACAGTTTTAGCCACAGCTGCTAGCACATGCTTGTTTTTCACTGCTGTTAGCAAGCTGACCACTGAGTTCCATATTTCATTATTACTTCCCACAGTGGCTTGTACCTCAGAATTTGAGATGGATAACACCCTTAATGTACTTAGGGCTGATTCAACTACCTCTTCATCCTTAGTGTGCTGGAGTAACCTTACCAATGGATCTATTCCACCACTGCTAACTGTAGCCTCTTTATTTTCATCACTGTATGCCAAAGCCTCAAGCAGCCTGGTAGCAGGAAGATATACATCTCTTGGAGTGTCGGTAAGTTGCAAAATAATGGGAGGAACAGCTTTGTTCTTTGAAAGTTGTTCCTTGCCTCTTTCGTCCTTAACAAGATTCAGCAACACGGAAAGAGCAAAGACATTTGAATCCACGCTGGATAATGAATTTTTCAATAATCCTAAGAGAGCTTGGACTCCTCCGGCATTTAAAAACGATTCTAAAAGTTCAGAGTTTCCCTCATTCGTAAGTTCCACTAATGCTCTAGCGCACGATGTCTCGAGATCACCTACCGACAAGCCACGAATAAGATTTTTCCAGACTTCGAGATCTGGACTGTCCAGCTTTAAAAGATACTCCAAAACGCCAATGTGGCCCTTCAATGCTGCCAGCTCCACAGCGCCAAACAGTTTTCGATCCTTAGCTTTGAGATTGGCGCCCAACTCTTCCGCCAGAAGTTGTATCGTGTCAACATGGCCGTTCACACACGCTAGTAGAAAGGGAGTCAGCTGTTGTCCATCTTGAGTCTCAAGCTCCAGTTGGTCTTCTCTCGATTTTATGAAACGACTAACACTCTTGTAGTAGCCATTGTAAGCTGCGTGATGTACATGAGCCCAACCATTTTCATCAAATTCATCCATGTTTACATAAGTAGAGCTGGACTACTCAACACGTTTACACAGCGGGGCTCGTCCTAAAGCTCAAAATTATATCTTATACAGGTGTATTCCAGCAAAAAATACCTTGGAAGCCAGATGAAACGACGTTTCGCTGGGTCAAGGTCCCCATGATCTCATTCCTGGTCCAAATTTTATGAAAACTACAAGTGTTGTCAATCGAGCTGTTCAGTTGCTAACGAAGGTTGCTACGCGCATGAAAAGAACGATCAATCGCCAAGTTGACTTCAATGTCACCGTTCATCCGTTCGTTCGTTATCTCTTATATAAGCTCAACTTTCTTGCTAATTCGGAAACACTTTACCCATTTATCAAGAAAAAAAACAATGCGTGGAAATGTGCAGAAACGGCATTCAAAAGTTTATAACCTTTCCAAATGAATCATAAATTATAAATGAGTAAGACGATGTGATTGGTCAGTTATATTGATCGTTCTCTTTGTTCATCAGTAAAGTCAGATCTGGTTTAACTACTCATTAAACGAAACCTGATGCGCAGAGTTAAGTCACCTTTGTCAAATTAATATTTCTTTTTTAAACTAACTTTGAAGGTTTTCAGATTATTTTAGCAGGTGAAGCTCACGTATACGTCTAATCTTTGTCGCCTGCAGGAGAGAGAGGCGTAAGGGGTGGGTTGGGAGAAGATGATTTTGGCTTTGTCATGATAAAATCTACTTGAACCCTCGATAAGACAAGAGGAGAGGGCCATTAAGGGTTTCTGAATTCTACTAAGTACATGTAGCCAGTGAATGGAGGCAGGACGCATACTTTTTTCGTTGCTGTCCCATAAACTCTCCCGGAAACTTAAAAATCATATATAATAACAACCAACCACCCCTTCCCCCTCCACGGCTCAGCTTGCGCTGACCGGTTTACTTTCCAAGACCCTAGACATATTCAAATGAAGCTTTCCTTGCTTAAAAAATGTGCCAGCTTGGCCAAAGCAGAGAAAATTTTTTTTTATCGGATGTGCAAATGCAAAAAGAGAAGAAGAAGGTGTTTCAGAGGTAGAATGAAATAATGATTGATCATTGGTTTTATGGAAATATTTTTTGCTTTGGAGTTTAAACTACTTGAATCCCGCCAACCTTATATATATATATATTTAACAATTATTCGCCGACGGCGAGGTAAATATGACGAGGTGAATATCGTCGAATAATCCCCGAGACGAAGTCGAGGGGATTATATATATCTTATTATCGCTGAGTATTTTTACGAGTTGTGTCGTATTTTGACGAGCCCGTAGGGCGAGTCAAAANTATATAGCGTCATATAAGGAACCGCTCGACCAATCAGATTGCTGGAAACTCTTTGCTCAGCTCTATATTTAGTATAATTTCAGAGCTGAACAAAGAGTTTCCAGCAATCTGATTGGTCGAGCAGTTCCTTATATGACGCTATATAAACCGCTCCACGCGGTTTATATTTAACAATTATTCGTCGAAAGCGAGGTGAATATCGTCGAATAATCCTCGAGACGAAGTCGAGGGGATTATTCGACGATATTCACCTCGCCTTCGGCGAATAATTGTTAAATATATAAACTGTCTTGCGCGCATGCACAGCTCAGTCGGTATGCTTTTTTTTATGAATTTTTAACGGCGACTGTTCAATTAATGATACTGAAAAAGTACAGATTCACTTGAAATGGAGAAGCTACAATCAACGTCAAAATCAGTTGACACATTATGGTTGAAGAGTCTATCTATGTTAAGAATAACAGTCCTTTTTCTACCACTCTTGATCATTGACAGACCCTCCCCCCCCCCTCATTCAATGTTGGCTTTAAGTTCATGGAATCACTGACACTTCAGGTTTAAATTCCGCGGGAACAGGCGACGGTCAAATGCTCGTGGGTTACCGGGTTATATATTGAAGCTTCGAATCATGGTTGACATATTAGATTGACACCAAGTTTATGTGCTACAAAAAAATAGCTCTACCGCTTTCCTGTAAACAGATTTTTTTGCTCTTATTTATTCCAATTTTTTATGTTTTTCAGCCAGAGTATCGTGTTTCAGGGAGAGACATTTCAATGCTGGGGGACAAGTTGGATCATAGAAATCAAATGGTACCATGTATGGATCGTGAGAGAAATAAAAAGTTATGAAAATCTGAGTCCCGCCGCCGCTTTAATATAGGCCGCATGACTGATGAGACCTAGTCATTTGCTACCTTCCAAATATAATTACAATTAAGTCCCAATTTCTCACCTTTGCGAACGTCCAGCCCCATAGTCCCGCGGCTCTTAGGTCCGACCCAACATCAAGTCCTATATTTTGGGCTTCCGAAATCGTTTTAAAATAACAGTAATTTCTTCAAATCAAAATCTGCAGAGAGAACTTCCTTGGCTGACCACCGAGAGAATCCAGGAATGAAAGACGCATCACATTCGACATCTCTCTCGTTCTCAGATCTCCATGAAAAGGAGGGTACGAAGAAGTGAATTTGATTATTTAAACTCTGTTACCGTCGCAGCTTTTGCATTCGCCCCTCTGCCACTCTCGCCTCCTCCTCTCCCTGCCGACGCCATATTTTTTTTTGCGCCACTATCCTCTGATCACCGCAATCCCTCCCCCCCCCTCTCTCTCTCTCTCTCTCTCTCTCTCTCTCTCTCTCCCTTTGTTTGCATTTTATAAAAAAAA